TTCTTTTGACCAGGGTTCTGTTGTTGGCAGCACCAAAATAACAGTCGCTGTTATGAGTTGGATTGGGTTATTTTCAACGGTTCCTGCTGTGATGTAAACAAAAAAATGTCACATTCTTTATCTAAATGCCACTCCAGAGGAATCCCAGCTGTGAAAACTCATCTTACACGAACCGTCTCCTGCTGAGGAGACGATGTAGGAAAGGGCTGACTGGAGTCTGTTTTCTGTCTTAATTAATACACCAAAATAAAGTTCTTTAATACTTTAGTGAGTGGAAAAAAACTGAATAAAAGTTGAAGATTGAAGCAGTTTCTGGAATACTTAAATATCTGCTTCACTGTCGTAAAACTATGTACAAGTTTCATAAATAATTACAATTGTGTAAAATCAGTTTAATACTTTCCTACTTGGAAGTAGTTTAATATTTTTGACATCTCCTATAATTTACAGTAGGAGTGGATATTTATTGTATCGTTTATCATTTATCGTGAGAAACTTCGTATCGTGAAAGGAATTTTGATTTATCGTCAATTAATGATGTTTAATGAAACTCAAAACTGTATTGTCAGCTTTTAGTTTTGTATTTTCTCCCACTGTTTGTTCAATGAATGTTTATCAATATATATCAATACATTTTAAAATGTGACTAAATACAGTTACTGTGAGCAGTTTACTGATATAAATTATACTTCTTTATGTGACTGGTGTCCTAAAGAAGCGTATAACAGATGAGTATATTTCTAAAACTCAATTAAAAATACTTTATCGATCCCAACAGGAAAATTAATTGTTGTTGTAACTCATTTAATAAATTTATAATTAATTTATTCTAGAGCAGTATTTGTGTTTGCCACAGCTATACAGTTACAAAACAAGTGATAATTATAATTGTCACTTTTATTGTTATCACAATAATACTGCTTTTTTTTTTTACCTTCGTTTATACAGGTTGTCTCATTTACATCAACTCTCATTTACAAGAGAATAGGCCTGTCGCAACAAGCAATAAATCAGTTAATCACATTATAAATGTAAACAAACTCAATAATTTCCATTTGCATGATTTATTGTTTTTTTCTTTTCTCTCTTTCTACCAAAAACTGGATGACAAAAGTCTTCAGTCTGGTGCTTTGGTCTCAACTAGCTCTTTTTTGAAGTACAATTTTGTTTACAGAGATGTTATAATTTATTTTATTTATTTATTGTTTTGTTTATTTATTTTGGATATTTAAAATATCTTCCAGTTCCAGTCTTAAATGTTCATTAGAATTTAAAGTTTATTGATTTTAGAAAATGTGTTCTTGCATTAACATCCCATTATTACCATTGCATTACTTGAAAATGGTCTCAAAACAACAATATTATGCCATATATCATATCCAGCAATATTTGACCTGTTTTGAAAAAAAACAATCAACATTACAAACACAGCAATGAAACAAGAAAATAAGAAATTTGACTCAATTAAATAAGCTAATAAAATATGAGTTAAAATCATCTTAAAAATATCTTGATAAAACTTTAAGACTGTCTGGCTCTAATTTACCATATTTGCCTCTTTTTATCAGGTTTGAGCTCTAATAAGCCAGTTTTCTCTCAGTTTGCGAAAGAAAAAAAACAGAGCACTCCATTAAATATTAAATATTTTAAGAAGAAATGTTCACATATTGATGTCCACTTCAATTCTTCCTCACGTGTTCAGACTTCAGTGAAGTAATGAGCGTAGAGCTCGGTAGCAGCCGTGGTCAGTGCGAGGCTCCACCGCGTAGCAGAGCCGAATCTTTGGAGCCTCGGGCTTCGCAGAGTGCATGTTCTGCCTCTGATACTTGAGCGGCAGCAGGGGATCTGCCTGCAGTAAAGCTCCAGCTTTCTGCCGTATTTACACAGCTCAAACATGAGATGGAGGAGTCAGTGGGATGAGACTGAAAAATGACAAACGGTACCTCTGAAATCACCAATGGAAAGACGGTAATTAGATCTTTGGAGAGCTGTCGTATTTACTTAGACGTTTTAATAAATGTTGTGTATTCTGGTTTGTACTGAGGCAAACCTTCTTTTTGTAATGGAAAATTAAAAGAGCACTGGTATTTTTTTTGTCTCTATGCAGCGTTTTTAAAGCAGTGTTGGAAAACAGATGAAAGTAAAACGCAAAATTTTTGTATAATTTCTCAGTACAACTATTGTACGTGTAGCAGGGTTTTATTTCAACAATATTATAATGTGAAGTTAGTCAGAATGTGTTTATGTATTCTTTAAATCTAGTTGTTTTTCCACCCATTGAGTTCTGTTGGGCTGCTCTTGGCAGTTGGTGGTTACCATAGCAACCGCAGTAACTGACAGTTGGTGAGTTACTACAGCTACATATGGGTAAATTTAAATTTAACTTTCAGGAAAAAGACAAACGAGGACCACTTGGAGCTTCAATATAGCAGCAATAATCACTCTTACTGAATTTGTAGCATCGTCCAGGTATGATGGGTTGGAGACAGAAACAGACTAAAAAATAAACAAACAGTGAGAGCCACAGTAAAGGTAAAACATCTCCCTCTTATGAAATGCTGCAGCTGATATGTCTGCTGTATGTTTGAATCTATGCAGAGGCAGAAGGAGAAAAAAGCAAAAACCAACACATCAATATTTTAAACCTCTGATTTTAAAGGTTTAAAAAGAAACCTAAAGGAGTTGAAGCTGCGTGAGAGTGAGCGCAGGTTTGCTGTTTAGTGGGTGGGATAGGTGAATGAAGGAAGGTCTTAGTGGATGCATCAATAAATAAATAAAAGGGTCTCGATGAAACACAGGAACTTTGTAAAGCTGGGGGCCGGGGGGACCAGTGCTGGGATAAATAAGTAAAGAGTGTGGATGTAGTAAAGACAAACAGCGCTGCTGAGACTTTGTGATAAAAACTCTCAGGAAGTTGTTTCAATTTAAAACCATCAGGGATATCATCAGTGTAACAGTGTAGATTAAATTAGTCATATGAATTACAGGGTTTCCCTCAGAGAATGTGCTTAACCCGGTGGTTGGAGCGCCAAGGCGGACCAACGCCGGTCCATTGGTGGTCCGCTGTATTTTTGTGTTAGAAGATGTGATATTGACAGGAAATGTAAAAATATTACTGAATAATTAGATGTTACGGGAGAATATTGCCAGTGAAACGCTATTTAAACCCACAACTATAGAATCTTAAAAACAACCAAAAAAAAAAAAACTGTTAAAATGAATGTCAGTTACAGTGAACCCTCGTTTTTCAATGATTTTAAACTGGCAGGAGGCAAGAGTGTCCAGAGAGACATATTTTAATGCATTTGAAAGACAAAACTAACTTACAAGTAACTTTTCAGCAAGATACAGAGGCTTGTTTTAATGAAATAGTTACTTAATATTTATGAAAACACTAATAAGGCATTTCCCCATGTTATAGGTGAGATTGTCCACCATATGAGCTGGTATTTTTCATCAATATTAAAGAATTATTGACTTAAAACAAACTCCTATTTCTTGCTTACGTTACTTGTAAAGGATCACCAGGGGACGTGGCCCTACTGCGCATGTCACCTTCAGAAGGCAGCCATTAATCCATTATTCTAACTATTTAAACTGTTTACTATTGGGCTAATAAAATAATCTACAACACTCAGTTTTGTGGCGTCTGCAGTTGTCAGATGTTTTATCTTTACCTCACACTATCTCCCTCAATCCGCTGCATTTTTTATTTCTGAAGGCTTAGTTTTTCACCTGCCTTGATGGATGCAGTTACATATTCATTTTCCCTCTAATTGTGACCAAGTTAGGAAGAAATTATTGTATTTTATTTGTCATTTGCACCCTAAATATGAATTCCCTTTATTTTTTTTTAAATGAAAACTTACATTTTGGGAAATTCCTATTCCGGTTCCCCTAATTTCTCACCATGCATGTTAGGGGGATTCGACATCTCATTGAGAGCTGATGATCTTACCTTGAACAAATAGTTTTAATATCACTTAGAAAATAATGTCCGACGTTTGGGCCATTTTTTCTCGTTATTTATCGTTTCACCTGCATTTAATGCTTAAAACGCATTTCATTCACTAATATTCTTTTTGGTAGCATAACTTATTTTATCACGTTGTCAGCTGTAGTACGCTGACAACATGCCAGCTAATATTGAAACTGCGTGATAAATGAAGGTAACCATGGTAACCAGTGAGGATTTAAAAGCAGGCTGGGTTTTTCTGCAGTCAGATTGTGCGTGGATTCACCGTGTTTACAAACAAATAATCCCCCCGTCAAGATGTTGATTCATCTGCCAACATTTTGGTTACCAGATTTCACACCTTTACGGTTCTACTAGAGTCCAAACCTCAGTGGACCGAGTCCTTTTTGACAGAAAATGATGGTGCAGCAAATTATTAGACATTAGGTATGCATTATGTATATTTTTACTTTGATGGTAGGGATAGAAAAAACTGAATCAGTTTGGTATTATTTCTGCCTTCCTTGTCCATAACCGACTTTCGGCTCTTTTCCTGCATCAGTCAAAACAAGGAGAGTGGAGCATAACTCTAAATTTATGTATAGAACCAAACAGATGGATCACTGTTTTCTTAAAATGCTTGTTATGATTATTTTTGATCTAATCCATGTTTCTTTCTTGTGTTTTCTCCCCCCTGCTGCATCTTGGGATACGTTCATCCGTCTCAGCTCTCGCAGGTGCGTCACGGCCACACATCTCACAACAATCGAAGAGCAGTAAAGAGACGAGCCTCTTAGAGATTCAGTCGGATGGTAGCGTAAATGTTGCATGCCCTATCAGGCTTAATATTTCATCTTTACGCTGATCAGAGCTGACTTCAGAGAAAAGTTAGCTGCAGTCAGCCAGTGAGACGGAGAAGCAATAACAGCAATGCAGGATTTAAGTGTATCTGTATAAATTATTTAAACATGAACAGTCTTTAGATCATACACACAGGAACACAGATGTGTTTCTTTACAGCTGATTATTTTATCTCAATCTCTCACAGATCATCTATACTTGACACAAGTATTTTAAATCCTTAATGACTCCAACTTGATCTGCTGCATGAATTATTCATGGTGACACGCAGCTGATCTGTTGGACCAAAGTCGTGTTTTCCTCCTCTTGGGATTATCCACAGGACTCAGCTATGTGTTTTAACTCCACATCCATCCACAGAGGGAAAAATAAACAGAAAGCTGCTGAGCTAAAAGATAATCAACTTTGGTCCTCAGGGGAGTGCAGCCACTCGCGCTCATATGAATAATAAAAGCTTATTCTGCACTGCAGGGTTGCAACATTAAGAGTTCAAGTTTAGGTTTTTATGCAAGAAAGAGAAAATACCTAATTTATCATCTTAGATGTCCAAATATAGTTCTGAAGTTTACACTAATATATTAATTTTGGGTTTCCTGTGTGGAATAAACACACAACAAACAACTTCAATTATTATTTTTAATTTAATGGAGTTCTCATAAGTTTAAAATAATTAGTTATTATCCCTCAGCAACTTACAACACAGTTTTATTGGATATTTGATATTTTGTAGCTTGTTTTGGTAAAATTAATTGAGGCTCATTTAAATGTGTTGGTTTCATGGCAATGACCAAACTTTAACTCCAAAGATTTTCAGCAGGATTGACATTTAAATATTTCAATTTTATTCAGTTTATTTAAATAACTAATTCATCACAAGTCAACTCAATTTAATTATGCCTAAATTCCAGTTGAATCTAGTTAGTAATAGATCACACAGTCATCCATTTATTGATTCTAGTTCTGAAACAATAAATTCTATTAATAGGGATGAGTCGATTATTGAAATAATAATAAAGTATTTTTCTTCTTTTAAAACAGGAATTGAACTATTTGTATTTTTAATATTGAATAGGATAAGCTTTAGTTGTTAGATGGAAAATCTGCAGAATGTGCCATAGTTTTTACTCCAACTTAATGGTTGGAATAATTAACAAATTAATCGATTACTTAAATAATAAATAATCATTAGTTGCACCTCTAGTTTTAATGACACACTTTGACATACTTATATTCATTGTAGCCAAAATGTTTAGTTTTTGCCTCGTCTGGCGATGAATCCTAAGCAGTGCAGAGAAAGCAGGTTGCGTATTAAATTGTCATCATAGTTGAGAACGTTTAAAAATGTCACCTGCTACCAAGCCTGAAGTCATCATAAAATCGAAGATGTTCAACACCAGAGTCAAAGTGTGTCGTCTCTCCACAGATTGCAACGGGGCATTAATCAAATATCACTGCTGTGTGTGTGTATGTGTGTGTGTATTTAGGCCTGACTGCATAATGGTGACCCTGTGGGGTTTAGATAAAAACCATAAAAAATTCAAACTGTTTTAGAAATTAATTGCAGTTTTATGCTGTATGGATTCCACCTGATACAACAAGCAGCTCCTTGAATGACCTGAACTTTTATCAGCACTGTTTTAGGATTTGGCTCACTCTTGTTGTCCATGACTGCTGCTGATTTGCTTCAAATTTAACTTATCAGCAGACCCTCAAACTGCAGCGCTACATGTTTTTTTTTTTTTTTTTTTTTACATACATAATTTTTAATCACTCGTAAACAGCAGATGAAGCTACGGAACAAGAATCATTCTCATCAGTAATTTCCTGTGGAGTCCAATCAGACCTGCGAGGCTGCATGGAGATGAACAGCTGGGCTGCACACATGGCTGCTTGTTCTGCTCGGGCTTTTCTACAGGAGCCCAGATGGGACATGTGCAGCACCAACAGACTATGCTCACTCCTGTCGTTTCTGATCCGTTATAGCGTCAGATCTGTGCACCTAAAATCACACCTTAAATCTCCACTGCAGTAAAATTCACTTTTGCAAACTTTAGTTTTTAATCTAGATGGGGTTTTTTTTTACAGCACCTTGCAAAAGTATTCACACATTTAAAACTTTTTCACATCACAAACTGAAGCTGAATTTCTTTTATTGGGATTTTTTGTGATCGCTAACTCAAAGCAGTGTGGTATGAAGTATTGGTGGGTGATATGTCATATAATTTTATCTCAATATTTTGTGTTAACAGTAAAGTTTATAATTTCAGGAGTGGGAATGTTGATACTTCCTTGAATATGTAAAACAAAGGTTTTGACATTATGCTTCATGCTTCACTATTTTTTTACACATATTCAAAAAACAAACAATTATTAGACTAATGTTTTGTTGTCTGTGTCTCTGTTGTAGGAGCTGTCGGAGGAGCATCACTCCCCACCGCTGCTGACAGTTAACGGGCCTGGAGAGGAAAAACTGTTTCGCAGCAGGAGCGCAGAAGTGGAGCTGACGGCTGAGAAGGAACGGGTCAAAAAGATGCTGTCAGAAGGGTAACGAAAAATTTTATTTACACGTCAGGCACGTTCAAACCAGGCAATAGGAAGGTTGAGAGGTAGAAATCATCAGGAATTTGATCCAACAAAGAGTTCCTGAGTGATTAAAAAATCGATTTTTTAAACAAATCCACACCAACTAGACCCCATGTTAAAGCAGCAGTGTTATTCAAAATTCAAATTCTAATTTAAAAATACTTTATTGATCCCAATGGGAAATGTAATAATATTTATAGAATAGTCAAGTAACTATGTCAACCTCATAGTTACTTGAGGTTGACAAGTAACTATATGACGGGTGACAAAAACAAAGAGTAATGCGCATGCTCTGTGTGCTCTTTCGTTCTTGTGCTTTATTTATTTGCTAATTAAATAAATACCAATGTATATAATTAAATAAAATAATAATAGCTACTGCTGTGTGCACAGAGCATTACAAGAACAAATGGTTATGTGTCTCTGTACAGTTAGCTTTGCTAACATCACTTCAACGGAGCTTACCTTTCTTTGAGCTTCTTTTCTAAGTGATGAAAAAAGTTAGACGCAGTCCCCACCGTCTGTGAAAGCGAAGCGCTGCTGAGTTAGCTGTTACCATCGTATTTCTTATGATTTATGCAGCTCTATTATATTACCAACGATTAAATAGACATCTTCCGCGGCTTAGAGAAAACCACTGCGCATGTCTTGGAGCTCCGCATGCGAGTGAAAGGTGGAGTAACAGAAACATGTAATTGGTAAGTCACGTTATGCTTTGTGCATTTAAAAATGCATGACGATCTAAAACATTAACTTGTGATAAAAACAAAAAGCAGAAGGAATATGCAAGTGGGACAATACCTTATTATAGAACAAAACAGTTTAGCAGTCAAAATCTGGTGAAAACAAAAATATTAAATCTTGATTTACAGTTTCTGCATATCTCAGATTTTCAGATGCAGGTGATTCTACTACTTGGTTCATATTTACAAACGACTCAAGTATTTCAGTCCAAGATCATGTATAGGAGAATTTAAGCTGGAAGACATATTATTTATTAAAAACCATGTACTATTATCATCTAGTCATGAAAATAAGCTGCAAATTATGCAATAAGTGCATATTTCTCATGAGGCTGTGGAGCAAGATTTTTTGTGTTAATTTTTAATTCAGTAAATCCCTCATCTACTTAAAACGCACAGGCAAAACAAACATGAGCAGAGCTTAACAAAAAAAAACATAATTTCATTAGTTTTAAAGGAATACATGCTAACACTGAGTGGAATAAAATGTTTTATAACCTAAAATCTGATCATAAAATTGGGTCCATTCCAGAGTAAAGCAGCTAGCATTGGGGATTTTGACAGTGTGATTCAAAAACATGACGAGAAGCTACTTTAAAAATTCACAAGACTTAATTTACATTTTACTTTAAATATTTATATGAAAAATAATCGCACAAAAGAGACGGCATTTAGTTGTGTTTGCGCTCTTGCTTTCTGATTGTTTTGGACCGAATATCTGACAAGTTGTATGTTCAGAGCAACAAAATAATAACCAGAAATCCTGAGAGAAAACGCACATTAAAATTAAACAACAGCAGGAGCAGCAGATGTTTGTGTGTCTGAGAGCCAGGTTTGTTTTCTGTTGGAGCTCAGAAAGTGACGGCAAACATATTTACATCCCATTTATATTTACTTTGCCTTGAACAGTTGCTACAGGGAGGCACCAACTCCTGCTGGATTCAGTGTCCACTTGGTCGACTTCACAGCATACACTCAGGTTCACCATATGTATTTTAACAATAGAGAAAAATAAGAACAAAAATTAAGTTGGGGGTCACATCAGCCCAGCAATTTCTGCCCCACAGTTACCGACGGCAACAAATAAAACATGGTGGCTAACTGCTGCTCACCTAAGCGACACGTTAGCTTCATCGCTGTCACTATTAATCACTAAACCACTCATGTGAGAACAGGACACAGGAAAGCCACTCTCTGTTGTCTATAAGCCCAGAGATTTTACTTTATGATTTTCATAAGCTTAAGCAGACTCTTCCCTCCTGTTGCTATGGTTTTATGACGGCCAAGCTGTTTTGTCATCAAGACAAAGATTTCTTCCTGAACTGCATCGTCTCAGCTAAAAGCCCTGCTTTATTACACATCCCTACTGAATCCTGACCTTTACCGGCGCACCAGATCTTTTCCACTTCCTAATAAAGCAGAGCACATTACTTGTCTTGTGTTGGTTTTTATATATGCACCCAGCGGCGTAATTTTCCACTGCTGCTCTGCTTTGGTTCACATTGAAGACCAGTCTTTTAAAACTGACCCAAATAATCACCAGAGTGCTTTAATATTAACATAACACCTTGCTAGCTTGTTTTATTGCCCCACAATCTGAGATAGATCCACAGTAAACTTATTAGCACCCTGGTAAAGGCTTGGAATTAAAATAAAATAATCTTTTATGGCAGTAACGTAATCTTATACAGGGTATTTAAAAGAAAACTAACCTTTAATTTGAGTACATTTTAGGAATAAAACCATAGTTTTATCAATTACATGCACCACTGCTGTTAGCTGCAAGTGGCTCTTTGAGCAGCTATGAATTAAGTTTGGCTAAAATGATGAAGGAACTAATGGTTTTAATTATAGAAATTAGGGTTGGGTAATGTGGTTTTAAATTTTTATCCAGGATATTTACTGTATTAATATTAAATGTTAAAGTATTTAGACAATTATAATATTGCCCTGTTTTAAATTTATTTTCAAATTTGTTGATGTTATTTGTCTGAGAGTACAGCCAGTTTTTCATGTTTTCAAATATAATTAATTGGAACTTCAGTTATTGCGATTTTTACAAGATATTTTTCATGAGATCAACACAATAAATGTCTATATTTACTAGATGCGATAACAAATGCAGGGTTTTTGTTCATTATGTCTCTGTAAATTTTTGCTGTTTTTGTGTTTTTCTTGGAATTTCCACAACAGAATGGCACCAAAAGGAGTAAAAACTCTTGTGTTGTTTTTTTCTGCAACCTCTCTGTTGCAGGTCCATGTGTGAGCTCAACTTGGAGGCTGAACTCTTCACTCTGCAGGACAGCAACGCCAAGCTGGTGGCGGCGCTGCAGGAAGCCAACAGCAGCGTGGAGCAGTGGAAGAAACAGCTGGCAGAATACCAGGAGGAGACTGATCGCCTCCGAGACCAGGTGACCAACTCTGCTCCTCTTTCCTCAGTGGTAAAATTCACCTAGGATTACTCTTATTGGTATTTTTTAAGACAAATTCTTGGCAGTATATTTGGGTATTATTTTCATATAAAATCATACACTACAGGTTAAGTTGCAGCCTTTAGGACATGCTCTCTGGATAAGAAAATAAATAATTAGCGTCAATATTTTCTTGGTTTAAAAATAGAAGAGTTTGTTAATATTTCTAACCTGGATGTCAGAGGGAAAGAATGTTGTTTACACTTGGTTATGGTTGTAATTACATTCCCAAGATGCATGTCTGTTGTTGCTATGGTTGTGATTTTCTCATTAAAGAGAAATGTGTTCATTGTTTTACGTATTAAGATGGGCCAATGTGTCTATAAAATAAATCTTAATTTAACCCTAAGTTTATAGATAAACAGCTGACTAGAAAATCATTTTTAGTTGATAAAAAAATATATTAATAGTTGGTGTGAAATAGGGCTGGACGATATCGCTGAAAAACATACATCAGTCAGTATAGAAAAATGTCGATTAGTTTTTTGTTTTAAATATCTTAAATACTTCTAAACCAGTGGTGAAACCCTTCCTGTCTTATCCAGTTTTTATCCCACGCCGTTATTTTTAATTTTTAAGCTGTTTTGATGTGCGTTGGCAAAACTTTAAACTGCTGCTACGCAAGTTACTCAAAAAGTTGTTGCTTGGTAACCACAAGTTACTCAGCAGGTTGTTGCTCGGTAACCAAGGAATGAATGTGATGTTGGATGCAAACGATCTTTGGTTTACCAGCTGAAGTCTTTCGTCAGTCCACAGAATGCTGTGCGGTTCTGGATTTCAGTTTGGTGAAATTATTGAATACTCTGTGTATTGGAATATGTATTATAATTTTTTTTCTCCATCTCTAGTGTGAAAATATGAAATCTTAATATTACATCTTTATTTTTAATAATAAATGTTTAATATGAAATCTTAAATATTAAATCTCCAGATCCTACTTGTTGGTTTTTCAGACTATTCTTGAAGAAAAGGCTGGAAAACCAACAAGTAGGACTTTAAGAGGCTTTATGAGTCTTGAATGTTTTATGTTTTTTAGGCTCTGAGTCGATGGGTATGGTTTGTTCTCCTTTTCTTTTTTCTTTTCTTCCCTCGTCGTTGCTAAGTAAAGGCCAGCGCTTCTCTGTGACAATACAATGAATACATTTTTCATTTGCACTCGCCTGAAATCTCTCTACCTCCCCTGGTCTCCCTGCCCTCATTAAACCATATATGAACCATTGGGAGGTGAGTGTGTGCTGCTCCTCATCTTTGATCCATGTTCACTCAGGAGTGCAACACATACCAATCTGAGTGCAAGAACCATAATCAAGACACTTTTTCGTCTCATCATGCCCAATGTGGCATAATGGTTTCCAGCTTTACCAGTCCTCCTTCCCACTGTTTGATGACCAAGTGGGCTGAATGTCATCGCCAAGCTGCGGCTGCTACGAAGCTCATCCACGAAGCAACAAGCAGCCTGATGTACTACCATCACAATAATGAACCACCAACGTCACATTTTTTGCATTCTCAAAGCAGTCTGCGATATCTCAGGTTCGAACAAGCATAAAAGGATTTCACAGTGAGACCTTGATGCAACCCTGCTGAATCCACATTCTTAACACCGTGGTGAAGTCTCTCTTTGTATGATATTTTAATTATCCTGTTAAAGGAGACCTATTTTGCAAAATTCACTTTTAGGTCTCTAAAAACAGTCCACTCACAAACAACCACCCAGCTGTTTGTTGGCAATAAGTTAATGTTTTTTGGTGTCTGGAAAGTGAGCCGTTTTAAAAACTTCCTGATTGTTGAATCACAATCAACGGGCACCATGCTGTCACCTAGCAACCTGAGCTGAGCTCCAGCACATTTGGTCAGCTGGTTTTACCACTGTATGCGCATTTCAATGGTTCCTGGAAAAGACAAGTATTTTGCTGTTGACTTACCACTGGTTGTGCAGGAGGTGAAATCTTATTATCCAAGAATGATTTGGTGCAAAAAAATGTAACGGATATGTTTTTGTATAGCCTATTAACTGATCTTAACCTGTTCAAAGATGCATAATAGGTCACCTGTCAGGCTTTGTAAACACAGATTGACCAGAAATTATAATTGGTGTTTATATGATCCAATTTATGTTTTATTAGCAGCTTTTGAGTTAAATAGTATTTGGATGGCTTAGGCAACAAAACAGTTTGTTTTTAACATAAGTTTACAATTCAGAAGAACTACATTGATTAAACTTGACTCGTCTTCCTGTTTGATTCTGTTTTATGTTCGTTCACTCCCAGAGGATTTTCTTTTCTATCAAGTCGCTGGAAAACATGCCACTTTTAAAACATTGTTTCATTTCTGCTTGTTTGGCGCATTGGCCCAGAATCATTTGATTTTGTTACTTCCTATATGTCAAGAAAACGTTCTACTCAACATTTAAAAAGAGGATGGTACAATAAAGCAAGGAGACCAACAAGAAGAACTGCTAAAATCAAGACGAATCGACAGGATCTGCTAGTCATTGTTCGTCCTTTATAACCACTCAGACATTAACTAGACATTTTTTTCCCTTATAGTATGCATGTATCAGAGTAAAATTTCCCCAAAGACTGCTTCAAGCTGCAGATTCATTTTTCATCCAGCTCCCCTCTCACTGGCATATTTCTGTTGACAGGCTCCCGTGATAATAGCGGGGCCAGAACGCAGACATTTCATCTTTAATTTAGAGAGAGGAAATTATGCCCCTGGTCAGGCTTAACAAAGCGCCTTCAGTGGCACAGTTCAACAGTCTGGAGTGAAACGTTATCACCGCTGACAGAACGTGGCTCTTTATTTTTAGCTTGAGGCATTATTCCGTCTATTTTCTTTTTCCATCTGCACATGTCCGGTTGAAGGTTACGCCTCAAACACACACATCACAGGGCTGAACACACACTCTGAGCTGCTGCAAAGTCAACCAGGTGGCTGGAAGTAGAGCAGGCCTCCAGGGTTTGGCAGTGGGGTATCGAGAGGGGCAGGAGTAGTTTTTATTTATTTTTTTCTTTTGGGACGGGACATTTCCCCCCCTCCTCCTCCTCATCCTCCACACTCTGTCCCAGTTAGAAGAAGATAAATCACTGGAGAAGCGGAGGGAGACCAAGGTTGGCTGGCTTTTTTCTCGCTCGTCACACTCTCAGCCACGCTGGTGTTCATCCACCGGAGAAACACTCTGGGTTTATTTTCTGGGTTTCTGGCTTTTGCTGCAACCTCTGTTCAGGTTTAATGAGAGTTGACACCACAGAAGTCTGTACTGCATTTTAATAAGAAGTACTTTACAGTTTTTTACTCACCTGGCTGTGTTTGGGGATGTTTACCCTTTTCATGATTATTTTTTTGCTTCAGAAAACTTGGCATGTTCAAAGTCAGACAGTCTGAAAATAGAGGGCTATAAAATCAGTATAGATAGATAGAAAGTCAGTTATAAAGTCAGTCTTCTACCACCTGAAGAACATTTCCAACATCTACAGAAACTCATCCATACATTTATCTTTAGTCGCAACAGTGTCTACACAGGTCTGCCTAAAAATGCAATCCTCCAGCTGCAGCTGATCCAGAACGCTGCTGCTCACATTCTGACTAAAACCAGGAAGACGGAGCACATCACCGCAGATATAAAGTCCTTCCACTGACGTCCTGTTGCTCAGAGAATAGACTTTAAAACACTAATGTTACATCAATTAATTAATCAGTCGTTTATTTGTGTAGCACATTTCAGCAACAAGGCAAAGTGATTTTCATCACAAAAATAAAAACAATTTGAGAAACTAGTAAACATTATATGTTTTGCCATCATTACAAATATTAATACATGTCATATATGTGGCCTTTTTAGTATCAGGACATCCAAATATTTTAGAGAGCATCCACTAAATCTGCTATTGGCTGCCGCTGGCAAATCATCCAATCAAGCAACACTGTTTATTTTCCTTGGTGCTGATTGGCTGAACCCCCGAGCGGTTCAGCCAATCAGCTGATATGGTTTATGGTACCACAGTGGGTACTTTATTACAGAAAGCTCATAAAATACTATAGATTTCTAAATACGATAACAAATTTGCTAGATGATAAATTATCCTATTAGTAACTGTGATAATAATGTATAATAATGTTTTGAGAGCATTATCAAAACACAGCCAGGTGAGTATATTTAAAATATTCATATCAAAAACACAAAACAACTGAAACAACAAATAAAATGGACACTAAAGTCTCTGCAAACAAAACTGTCCTTTGAAAATGGGGCTTGTTTTCCCATCTAGTCTTTTGGAGAAAAACAAACATTCAAATGGAAATTATTGAGGTTGTTAAGTTATCTTGCAATTGAATTTCCACGGGAACATTAATTGAGAAAGATTTCAGAGTTTTCTCTATCCGTGAATGTTTGTGCGGAGCTCAGAGATTGAGCTTGTACCTCTGGGGACAATAGCTGTGGCGCACACACACACACACACACACACACACACACATGCACACAGAGCTGATAATGCAAAGGGGCTGAAGCCTCTGGGACGGTGGACAATCCTCTCTTTCAACCTGCCAAGGTTTTCTGAAGCGCGGTGTGGATTCGGTGTGGTGTTGAATTTCTAAACCGCTACTTTGAAACTGTTGGTGGAGATGTGGGGGACAACTTTAAAGGAGAGGAAAAAGAACAGTAACCCTGAGAGAAAAGAGGATTCCTCATCTTCACACACACGCACACTTTATTCAAAGAAACTGCCCATGTTCGTGCAGCTCAGTTTGCCACTTGTCAATTAAATGTATAATGTAGGGCTGGGCAATAAATCAATAACAACATATATGGAGATAGGCACGTGATCAATATCAATAGCTAATACATCTGATAGAATATTCAACAATTTAATGAACTCCAATCCAAAACTGCACAGCATTCTGGGGGAGAGAAAAGACTTTAGCCGCTCAACGTCTCACAGCTAACTAGGCTGTGTTGGTGGAATCAACTGACTCACTCACCCTTTGGTTACCTAGCAACTCACTTACCCTTTGGTTACCTAGCAACAACCTGTTGAGTAACTGGTGCAGCAGCAGTTTATGCTTCATAACGGCTTAAAAATAAAACAGCATGGGTAAAAACGGGTTAAAACAGACGGCCACATCACCAGTTTGACAGTATTTCAGATATTTAAAACAAAGAACTAATGAATCATTATTGAATACAATCATCAGTATAGAACTGATATGAAATGCTTATATTGTGACATATTTTGAAGCTATATATGTTTATATGTACCTGAAAAATCTTTCATATCTTGAATTCCTTTTCTTTTTTATCCATAAAACAATCTCAGATTAATCAATTTGTAACACTGAGATGACCAAGTCTTGTGATAGGTTAGTGTATCAAAAATGTTCCCAGATAACTTAGAGCATGTTTCTATTTTCTGACAAATAGTTTAGTTCATTTAAAGCTGCAGTACATAACTGTTAGAAAATATGTTTTTTACATATTTCTTAAAACTGACACCATATTGTGTCAGTATAGTATGAGGCAAGTAATGTGAAAAAATGGGATAAACTACCCCCATTAGTTACCATTATAATATCCTCTGTTTTTGTTATTTATTAATCTATTTATTAGCCTTTCAATCTGATGTGAGATAGATTTAAAACAATATTTAACTGATAACACCATCAAACCCACCCAAGTAATTCATTTATTATTATTTTAAATCATCATCATCAGGCAGGGATAAATAATCACTGAGTTCCAACTCTTTGGCTGTGTTATATTTACTTATTTCTCTATACTAACAGTGCATGGTGCCCGGACCCTGAGGAATTATAATACTACTAAAGTACAATATTTTGATGCCCTCTTGCGTAACTTTATAATGTTATAGAAGCTGTTTCTATTCTATTCTAAAAACTAATTAAAACTGGCTAAATTAGACAAAAAGTAACAAGGAAATAAAACTAAACCATAAAGACAAACCCCAAACTACTGCAACCCTGGTGTCGAGCTTACAAAATAATGTTATGCATTTCAACCTTTATCTTATTTAAATTGGATTTCCATTAATTGCTGCAGATTTAAACTCTGTAAACACTTGGGATCCAATTAGTTGAACATCTTAAGCTGATTACTGCCACTTTGAACAGAACATATCACACTCCAGTCAGATCTGAGGTATCCAGAGCCAAGAGGGAGCCGAACCCCAACGCTCTGATTGCAGAGGCTTGAATGATCACATCGGGATGCCGAACAGTGCTGTCCTTGTTTTGTCAAGCTGTCACTCAGATTCTCTGAGATTTTCCATTAATATGTTAAACTCGGGGAACTGGGTCAGACTGGGGAAACGGTTTCCGTGGAAATCTTTTGCCAGGTCACATCCCTCTATTAGAGGAATCTTGCAGGCGTCACTTCTGAGCCCACTGGCAGTAAAGCTGTTTTTCCACAGAGTAGTTTTTCTTGGGGTGTGTGTGTGTGTGTGTGTGTGTGTGTGTGTGTGTGTGTGTGTGTGTGTGTGTGTGTGTGTGTGTGTGTGTGTGTTTTGGATTTTATTTATCTGCACATTCACGAGAAAAGTGAAGAGGGACGAGATGAGAGGGAGAAAAGGAAAAAAGATGTCCTTGATTCTTCTGCAAATTGCACTGAGGAGTGAGGTCTGATGCTTTCATCTAAATGATACTCCTGAATAAAAGGTGTTTATCAGATGTGAAAATCACATGAATTACTTTCTTTGTGAGTGGATAAACCTCTGTTTGGTTCCAGTTTTTCAATTAACAGTAGTGTGTGTGGCCGCGGGATCCACCTTAACATAAATACCTTTTTATGCAAATTCTATATAATTCATATTCACTCCAGCAAAATGTGATTATGGTTGATTTTACTGGTCATATAAAAAACAGTTTCTTCTTACATTTTACAGGGTTATGCAAAAGTTGTGCATCATACCTGATTGCAGGAGTTTTTATAACAGTGATATTTTGTATTTTTACAACACAATCAAGTAACAATGTTTCAGGATTTGAATAAAGGGTGCATTGATTTATCGGCCAGCCAATTTACCGGTCCGATTTCCCTAATTTTGGGAGATCAGTGAAATATCCAATAGTTGCATGTGAAGTCGATCTTATTCACCGACCTTATGTGCCTCAGCAAGATCTAAAGCTTAACCACTGACTGATGGATCGGCCCACCAGCTCATGTCTGCATGTTTACTGATAACAATAGACACCCCATTGTTACCAGTGACTTTATTGCTATTATTGCATTTCAGACAAAAATAAATTATCAGCCAAAATTGAAATCGGCAGGTCAGGCTTTTTAAAAATCGTTAATCAGCGATCAACCAGAAAAGTGCAGTCAGTGCACCCATATTTGAATTATTTGCTTATTTGCATCTTTTAATACATTTCTAATATTGTATGAAAGAGATTAAATTAGATATTTGCAGAATATAATGATTTTTTTAACCTATTAATCATTAAAGAATAATTCATAGATGAATCTATAACTGAAATACTTGCAACCCCAATTTCTACATCTCATCAAACTTCCTATAAGTTCACTTTCTTAAACTGTAATTTTTACTTGGACCTGAAGCAGAGCAGGTGATTTGAACTGAAAATCACAAGTTGACTTTGTTTTTATTTCATTTTTTTAATTAGTTGTATGAATGTATACTGTGTAGTCTGGTTTAACATGTTATCTTATGTTTGTTTGAACGAAGTAGCTCTTAAAAATTAGACATTACCTCTCAAAAATATTTACATTTATGACTAAAAGTGAAATAAAGAAAAAAGGTTTTCTAAAATCCCCCACATTTTTGGCACTTGTGCCAGTGTGGATCTTCTGGTTGGTAATATTTAGATGTTTTTGTGTTGCAGGTGGCTGACCTGGAGGCCCAGCTGGGGCGTCCTGCTGCTGGTCAGCCGGCTAAAGAGGAGCTGAGTCGGTCGCTGGAGGAGCTGGAAGCCTCGCTGAGAGCCAAAGAGCAGGCAAGAAACAAAGTCCGCCCCCTGCACCGCGTGCTGTCCAAAGCTATTTGCCATCTCATTAAAGGGAATCTAAGAGTGGAGAGCTAGCCCATAAATACAACGGGAGATATAATACTCTGCCAGCAGTGAGCTGGTTACTCAAGCCTTCGTCTCGCTGTAGAAAAATCTCTTGAAACATTCATAAATCAGCCATTTGTGGAAATGTAGGGATAGAAAATAGCAAGTGTCAGCTTAAATAATCATTCTGTAAATCATCCTTGATGTTGAAAAATAGAATCCTTCTGGATCAATAATGATAAAAAATAATCTGGTAAGTAAATGTTTATCAGTTAAATTGGGCATAAATGAAAAGGGATTAATGAGTTTTCTAGATTTTAGCGTCACTAGAGATATTGATCCCTCTTTAAATTGCACAGGCATTTTTGTCCTGGAAAGATCTTAAAAATATCTTTTTATGGAATTAATGATTATACCTGGTGAATATCTTTTACTTGTTTGGGCCAAATCATATAAAATGAACTGTGTTTGACTAAACAAACAACTTTTTGTAATTATTGTCTTTAATGTTTGATAAACATGCATATTATTTCGTATAATAAAAAAAAGTTTATCAAGCTGCTTTGCTGCTAAAGCTAATGTAGCACTGGACACATGTTTGATAAGAAAACGACAGAATGAGCCGTTCAGGAGCGTTGCTGTGGTTAACACTGCTGGAAAAAACACTAAGAACTCAGAGCAATCTAAAATCAGAAGGTATGAGGCAGCACTTGTGCTAAATGAAGAGCCGGCCCAAAGTTTGTGCAAGTTAAGCGGCTGCTTAGAGTCCCTACACCAACAGGGGGGGCCATAATCCATCATAATAAAATATATTAATGAATTTATGATAATATTTAATAATACAGACTAAATGACATTACACATGGCAACAATTTCTATATTGTTTTTGTAGTTGATACGCAAATAATTTAATAATTTAATCTCTTTCTGCTGTTGGATGGTGCCACTGTTGGGGAAATATAAGATATCAGACTTATTAACTTGTTTACTGTAATTTTAATGTTTATTAGCTTTATTATTATTTTACGTTAAATAATATGGCAAACTTACACAGCACTCTGCATCTTAAAATCCAAATAATTTTTTGGTTTGCTAGCTTAAAATCAACAGCGATAATAACACTGGCATGATGTTAGCTAGTTACTAATGACGCCAATGATGGTACGTATGTTACACACATACGTACTATCATTTGGTGTCAACACCAAATGATAAAGCATTTGATGTGACTTGTTGGTATGGGGGGGCCCAAATGAAAATCCGTTTAGGACCCCAAAAAGGCTTGGGTCGGCCCTGGATAAACGATTGATAATTATTGAATAGAGGATCAACTTGAGACAAAGAAATTCTAAAAGTTGATGTTTCTTTGGATATTTTGTAGCATTTGCTGCAGGTTTGCAGAAGGAGCTAATGCTGTTTGTGGTAAAAGTTTGGGAAACTCTGATTTAAATGACAGGTTCAGGCGGTGGCAGTGTTTTAATATTACTAATATATTTCCAGGAGATTCAGAATCTGCAGTGCAGGAAAGCAGATGTGGGCGAACTGGAAAAGGAGAAAGAGGAGATCATGCAGAGACTTCAGGTAAGTTGAATGTTGGTTTAATTTAAATTCAAGAGACCAATCAGCTGAACAGCACCTCATTATCCACTCATGCTTAATTATCCAACTTTAAAGTCTTTTGTGCTTTTCTAGTGGCAGTTTCGGTAATTTACCATTCCATTTGTTGCTAAATTTAATTTACATGTAAAATTAGAAATCATTTAGGTTTAATTAGTGCTTTTTCTCATAACAAGTAGGGTCATTTATTTCTGCAATCAAATCATTTTCAGCCTTTCAAAAGATGTTTGGTCTGTTTTTGCATTTCCATAATTTCTCCATTGTGTTCAAGTCCAACAGGTTGACTTCATGACAGTCATACTCAGGTTCTCTGTATTTATTCTAAGAAAAGAGAAAACCAAGTTGGTGTTTATCATCAGTCCAGCAGCTTCTGCTTAAATAAAATACAATAAATAACGCGAAACAAACTACAAAGCAATAGCTCCTAATGAGAAGTTGGCAGCAGATGACATTTGTAAAATTGAACATAGCTAATATGGAGAACATGAACAATAACAGTTAAAAACATATACAAAACATAGCAAAATGACTCATGAAACACTATATATGATTAAAATTGTGTAAAATATATGTCAAAATATAATACTTGTAAAGAAAACACCACAGTTACCGACGGCAACAGAAAAAGGGGGAGGGGATATCGGGTACTGGTTGCTACGGTAACCACCAACTGCCAAGAGCAGCGTAACAGAACTTAAAATACCAATAAATGTCTGAAGAAACAACCTGATTAAATAAAATAAATTCAAAGAATAAATAAACACATTTTGAGAAACTTCACATGTATAATATTGTTAAAATTAAACTCTGTTACATATACAGCGGTGTTTATAATTCATCTTGATGCTCTGGATGTATCGTCCTCAAACCAGACGCAGGTAAAATAGATGGTTGGCTTTTGAAGCCCACTTGAATCTGAAGTGGTGAACTGAGGCCTTCAAGTACAACAGATTAGTCGGGATTTCCTTATTAATGTCAAAGATTGTATCTGATGCATATTGCATAGCCTCTATTAGGTCGTCTATCATTCCTAGCTGTGGTGTCGGATATGAATTATGGATGATCGCTTTCGACCTCTGTAGTCCTTGTGTTCATTCCACAATTTATTCTGGGCCTTATTTATACACACTCACCTCATAAAGAGCAGCGCCTATACTGTTGTTGTAAAATTATTTATAGAAGAGTTTATAAATAATAATAATAATAATAATAATAATAAATTTAATTTGTACCACTCTTTTCATTAGCAAAAATCTCAAAGTGCTACACAGTGCTACAAGGTGTGATCTGTTTTTATGCACCTTTTGCCTGCTGTATTTATCTCAGATGATCTGATTCATCTTTAGGTACTATAAAAAATATTAGAACAGCACTGGAAATATTTTTCCAGTATCTCTGCTTTGAAAATATTTATATTATCAGCGGAGACGACATCACACAGCTGGTGCGAGAAAGCAGTCGCTAAAAACCTTTTACCATTATTATTTTACTATTATTTAAAATAGTTAAATTTGCTAAAGACAGAAATCTTTAGCATCTCTATATTAATAATTATTGTGTTCAAAGTGGCTAGCTATTCAGTTTGCAGACTAAATATTGAATTTTATAATTAAATATTTAATTTTAAGGTAAATATCTATTTTGAAGCTAAACATTTAGTTTCATAGTTAAAAATGTAGTTTTTATTTTGCCAAAGCTAAATTTGTAGATTGGAGCTAAATATTTAGTTTGAAACTAAATATTCAACTTAACTAAATATTTAGCTTTGCAAAATTGTAAACTAAATACTTGATTTGCCAATTACTTAGTGTGAGCCTAAACATTTAGCTTGTTAACTCAGCATTTAGCTTGATAGTTCAATATTTAATTTGCAAACTAAATATTTACTTTGAGACTTAACATTTAGTTTGAGGCTAAATATTTAGCTTGCTAATTAAATATTTAACTTGTAGCTAAATATTTTTGTTTAAAACTAAATATTTACCTTGTTAAATAAACATTTAGCTTGATAATTAAATATTTAATTTGCAAACTAAGTATTTACTTTAGGGCTTAATATTTAACTTGTAACAAAATATTTAGTTTGTTAAAATTGTAAGTTAAATACTTAGTTTAAAATTGACATTTATGCATGAACGACATGGTGAAAACATGGTTTTGCAAAATGAATCCCCATTTGTTTCTCTCTTGCCAGCCTAAATAACCCACATTATTGCTGTTAAATTTTGACTGTGTAGCTTTACAAACCGAATCTGTTATTGTAGATTGGAGCTAAATATTTAATTTGAAACTAAATATTCAACTTAATAGAGGAATAGAGAGTCAAGTGTGTTGCGTCTTTATTTAAATCCCAGTTTACCATCACCAGGTGATCTCTTGTTGTATCTCGTATATTCAGTGATCAAATGTTTGTCAATGATTAATAAAAACCTGTTTACCTTTGGTCAAATAGGACCTGGAGCGACGAAACACCGAGCTGGAGAGTCGTGCTCAGAGCGCTGAGAAAACGTTGGCCACGAATCTCGAGGAGCAGGAGCAAGCAGAGGTTGAAGTGCAGCGAATCATCGGCGTTCTGGACGTCAAAATCGGTGACCTGAAAGGCCTGAGAGAAAGTCTAGCAAAACTGGTGGATAAGTAGCCACAGCTGGAGCTGGGATGCATCTCCACAGTCTGTGCTCGTAGAGTTGAATTAGTGCAGCAGGACAGCAAAGATCACAGAGATGAGGTGGAAATCACTGAGGTCGACCTTTTTCTGAGAGAATCAGTGAAGATTGACAGCTTTCTCAAAACCGTCCTGTCCTGTTTTATCATCTGCATCTGCTAACTAGCCAGTCTGAAGGAGGAAGATCTATCTGCCATGGAAAACAACAGCACCCTTTATGGCTTTTTGATGCTGCAGCTTTTAGTAAAAAGTCTCTCCTGGGATCTCATTTACAAATAAAAACAGACATTTATACTCACTTAGGTACGTTTAGGTGTTCATAAATGATTCACAAAAGCTGGAAATCATAGCAAACCTGGATTGTTTTGCCTCTTCTGGAGCCAACAATCGAACGTGTAAAGAATGCTCAGCTTTATGTGAACAACCACTGCAGGTGCTGTCACTCTGCTCTACCTGCAGTCTGTCCATTCATTCTAGTAGAGAACAAGCATCGCAACAATATCCGTAACCTAAACCTTCAAATTCCTCTGAACACATCAAGAGACACCTGCCTTTTCAAATACCCACACTCACGTCTTCTGGTTTGAATATTGGTCTCTTTTTTTTGCTATTTAAGTTGCTTCCTTGGTAGTTTTACATTGCTTCATCAGTACACAGTGAAAATATCTAATTAAAAGTACTTAAGTCCAACACAGTAGGCATAGACGACCCACATAGCCTTTAATTTGTTTTTGTTCTGCTATGATAGCTAATTGTCCAGGACAAACAGTGACGAGCTGTTTGAACTCGGGGCTACATTTTGAGATTTTGACTCACATAATCAACTTGCGCCTGACCTCGACTCTCCTCCCGGCTTCAGGTGAGCCGGGAGGAGAGTCTTTTTTATTAAATTAAAGAGAATTTAATATGCAAAACTCACATTTTGCATGTTTTTCTACTTTAATTTTGATCTCAACTGCTTCAGAAAACAGGTCAGGTGCTTAAATAAACCCCCAGACGGGTTTTGGCAATAAGTTCAAGTTTTTTGTTGTCTGGAAAATTAGTCGCTTCAATAAACCTCCTGATTGTTAAGTCATGATCAACGGACACTCCTCAGTTACCTAGCAACCTCAGCCAAGCCCAGCCCATTGCTTAGCAACCGCAGCTGAGCTCCAGCACGTTTGGTCAGCTGGTTTTACCGCTGTATGCGCTGTACAATGGCTGCTGGAAAAGAAAAGTGTTTTGTTGTTGACTTACCATTTCGTAAAATTTTTGTACAATGTTCAAAGACAGATGTATGAGGTGTTTGGGAAGATGTCGCCACAACGCTTCCAGTTGGAGGTTTTATGAAAACGTGTTGCTGGAAGGAGACCCCAGATTAAATTAGAGACTATAATCTCCTTTTTGCTAACACTTTGGTCACCAGGACCTTCTGGACTCTGCTAACTGACTTCAAATAAGCAGAAGACAATGGATAGATGAATGTCAAAAAGAAAAAAATAATCTTAAAAACTTTCAAAGTATTATTATTGACAAAATATTAGCAAGCCTTTAGGCATATACTTGAAATATCTCAGTAAAGACAATATAGTAATGATTACTTTGACTCAGTGTTGTCAGGAAAATCAGGAATAGATTTCAATTTGGATCAATACTGGAACAAAGGTTGAGAATCTTAAAGCAAAATAACTTTGGCTATTTTAACACAGCAGGCCTTAATGTTGAAATCTGATCTTTGTGTGTGTGTGCATGCTCGTTTGTTCTTTTAATTAAATGTGACCGCAATTGGACTTCTGTGTGAATGAAAGGAGAACGTTGACGTCACACAGCAGCGCATTGTTTACTGAGGTAAAAATGAATGGAGCCGTTTATTGATTCATTTGAACGTTTGTTCAGCAATGCGAGCCGACGGAAATCTATCACAAGATCATAACACAAAGGGATCTAAAAAATGAAACAACTAATAGCAACGACTTTTTGTGGAGCATTGACTGTAGGGAAACCTGCTGGGATGCGTAGTCAGAGCCACGACTGTGATGTGATGGGCTTCAGTGGAAGAAACTTCATTTATAAATTCATAATTATAATTTCTTCAGCCATTGTTTATGTCCAGTCTTTCTTCTGCTGGAGATTTATGACGCATGTCTCATGTTAATGAAGTAAAAGTCAGATAAAATGCAACATGACCGTTCAACCTGCAAACACAGAAAACAATGGCGTATGTATTCGATTTAGTACCAGTGACTCAAATCAGATTTGTTTTTGGGCCATTCAGACTGCAGTGAAAAATTCAGATACACCGGTAGACCACATTCGCCTGCTGTGTGGAAGCAGCCTAGGTTTCTGTATCTCACCATTGGCCCTGCTCAATGTGACTGCATGTGCATGACTCATTTAATGACAGTGCCAACTCAAATTAGCATTTGGCAAGAAACATCCGTGAACTATCCTTTGAGATAAAAATCACTTCAGCATCAAAGGAAGGTCGCACTCTGTTTTAAATCCACTTTATAAATGAAGCCTGTTAAATAAAATGCAGAACCACAGCTGCCAGACTTTTAGCTTTATATGTTCATAGTAATGAAATTAATTAGCCAAAATTAATAATGTGAATCCTCATTGTAAGGGAGAGCATATTTTAGGAGGATTGCTATTTAACACTATATTTAATGATTCTGGCCTGTTGCTTAAATGTTCAAGCTCATTGTGGTGTTATATTCTCCATGATTAGGAAGCCAGGGTGGCGATTGAATTATCAAATAACCAAACAGCATCCTGAGTGTGTGTGTGTGTGTGTGTGTGTGTGTGTGTAAGATAGAAAGGGACAGTGATAGAGCAGCTCTGCTTCCACCAGAGCTGCATGTATATATTTGAATTTCTTGGGCATGTCTGGACAGACATTGAGATGACGGAGCCTTCAGAGTGCGAGTTACATCAGACAAGCGCCTCATCAAAATTCTACATGTGTGGTTCCAAGAAACAAGAGAGAGTGAAAGGTCTATTTTCTTATCTTGTAGTTTACTCTGAAGTCCACATAATACTAAAATAAACACCTGGACTCCTCATGTGGTTGTAGAAACACAGTATTTAGGTTTAAATCTTATAGTTACTATTAGTGATTCAAGTTACTAATGCTTACAAGTAGGGCTGGATCAGTTAATGAAATAATCAACTAATTTAGTAATTGGTTGTTATCTGGAGTAAATGGGCATTTACTGAGAAAACATCTTAGAGCAACAAATGTACAAAAAAATGTAAACATTTTTGCCTTTTAGATGTAAAACTTTTTTTGCCTGTAAACATCTTCTACACAGAACTAATGTGACATTTTTAGCTTCACTTGGTTCAAATTCTTTTGAAAAATATCCTGTTGGCATGTCCCCTGTAAGCTGCCGAACGTTAGCCTGCTAACCGCTAGCCGAACGTTAGTCTGCTAACCGTTTGCCGAACATTAGCCTGCTAACCGCTAGCCGAACGTTAGCCTGCTAACCGCTAGCCGAACGTTAGCCTGCTAACCGTTTGCCGAACGTTAGTCTGCTAACCGTTTGCCGAACATTAGCCTGCGGAACGTTAGCAAACAACGTTTTCCGGATGTTTAATGATATTTCATTTGTCCGGCGAACGTTAGCCAAAACGTCAAAAATAACTTACGGTATATCAAGACAAAAGTAGTGATGAAAGAAATAACTCTTTATCCTTTATTTTGAATGTCTCCAAATCCCCAAAGATTTGGAGACATTCAAAATAATAATAATAATAATAATAAAATAAAAATGTCACCATTTTTAAACATACAATGTTTATTTTAAAACATACCTTAGGATTAGTGTCAGTATATTTTTACTAATCAAAAAATAACAGTTAACTATTTTTTCACTGTAGATGCATTCTTTGTTACAAATTATCAAGCGTACACTAAAGGAATGCAGTTTTTTGTGTTTTAGGCAATAAAATGTTTATTTTGTTATTGGATTATTTATTTGCATCTTTAAAAAAAAAAAAAAAAAAAAAAACCTAAGGGGTTAAAAGAAAAATTTTAAAAATTCCCCCATT